AAAAAAAAAAGAAGACCGTTTCCTTCTCCAATTCAATTAAACCTATTCGAAGTTGGAGGAGGATAACAGATATACCACAACCATTTTTGAACATAGAAGTAAATTAACATTAGAAAGACTGAAGAGGAAAGCTATACATGCAAGGTTGTAACATTCTTTATTTATACTTCTAGGAGGCTTTCTATATACGTATTAGTGTATGACACGAGTAATCAAAAGATTCATAAAATATTATGCAGCATAACAAATAATCATTAGTAAGGAAATGGCACATTCAAGAACACCACTGTATTCAGTTTGGATGACTTGAGGATAGAAGCAGTAGAGAGTACATTTTTGGCAAGTAGAGTTAGGAGATGGGATTCAACTGGATCGTTGTCAAAAAAATCTTTAAATTTCTTCTTTCTATACTTCGTTCGAATAACGTGAGAATGGGGAACTTTAATTCATCAAGAATCTCTATATGCTCTAATTACAACACATTTTTATAGGGAGAACATCTAGATCAAAAACCAAATTCCCAAACTTAATTTGGAGTTTCTATTTGCAGAAGGGAGAAAATGATTATAAACCTTTGGGATGATATTCAAATAAAGACATTTAGCTTTCTGGCATTGATCATCATCCTCACGCAAACAATGATTTTATTACTCCGTAAAATATAATCCCGTGACAATTATGCATAAAACCACTCGAAAAACTGAGATGTAAATAACCAAATAAAATATTCATTGGAAAAATAAGAAAAAAAATAAAGAGAAAAAGGTCGAGCATAAATAAGTTTGCTGCTCACCCTTAGCTCAGTTTCCATTACCTGTTAGGAAGACCTTCCAGAGATCTCCAGTGAATTTTCTGGTTCGGTATTGGCTGCAAGGAAACAATCATGATAAATTCGATGAGTACCTTGAAAAAATGAGTTAAAAGTCTCAAAGATAATAAAGAATATAAAACTTCTTGGAAATTACCTGCATGTTTCTAGCAAGCCAAGAGAATTCAATATCACGCCCAAATGCTTTATACTTTAGTGACCATCGTGATAGATCAGGCTTATCCTCCAGAATCTGGAAAACAAATTCCAACATCATGTTTCTTAACTTTAGAAACCTAAAGGCATGATTAACTATGCACATTCTGATTGTCATACATAATGTTAAAATTGAGAAAGTAAATGCAAAATTCAGAACTTGACACGGTTACGTCATTTACAGACTCATAACATCTAAAAGCATGTTTGACGAAGTGTTTGTAAACATTTTAAATTATAAATATATAGAAACCAGTGATGTAAAAGTGGATAGTACTTGCGGAACACATAAAATGTGTGGAGAAAAAGTGGGATGGATTTTTATAATAACGTGTAGATACAAAGTGGCTTGAGTGTTTATAAGCAATTTATAAACATGTGCTAAATTGCGATCTCTTATGCATATGCTTTCATTGAAAAATTAACATGTAACTGAAACACCTTCAGTTTCGTAATAGAAAGTAAATAGGTGAATATATCATTAAGGATAACATATAGAAGCTATTTCCATGTGATGACATAAATAGCTCAAATAGTGATAAGGTAAGGAACAAGGTGTTCAGTCTATCAGCTGCTTGACTGTGGCAGTTTCAGACAAGATAAAAGGGTTTGGGAGAGCACTGTGTGTGTATGTTTTCATAAGTTGTTGTCCCTTGAACACCTATCCGAAACTGTTGGCAAGAAAAAACAAAAATGTTGAAGTCACATCAGTGAATGCTCTTTAGCACTCGTACATATTTCATATAGCATTATTCTTGAACTGAATATCATGTCGAAGACACTGAAATGCACATATACCATCCAAAAAATAATAAGAAAAGCCTGGGGACTAACCATAAACAGGCTGCAAGATATGAACATCAAAGATTATTTTCTTGTGTCCTTTTTGGTGATAAGTCAAGATGTAAAGGCTATACCTTGCAGCTATAACCAAGTTTATTCTGAGAAAACATGATCCATCAACAGCTTACATCCTTAATTAGATTACAGCAACAACAGAGTGTACACGACTCTAGAGGATCATACCAATAAATGAAGTTTAACCAAGTGGCTAGATGAAGATGTACATCGTAATTGTGTCAAACTCACAATGAAATTTAGCCAATTTTGCAGTTTCATAAAGCGGAAACTCAATA